GTGCTCTCCCTCCCCCCCGGTTGACAGTTCTCTCTCTCTCTCTCTCCCCTCACCCCTCCCGGTTGACAGTTCTCTCTCTCTCTCCCCCCCCCCCTCCCCAGAGTGTAAAGGCTGACGGGTAATACTGAATTTTGACGGAAATGTTACGATCCTGTCCGTCAAAATTACGGGCAGTGAAAAAGTCTAGCGCAACCTCTGCTCGGAAGACATGTGCTACCAAGTAAGCATCCTCGACATTGAGAAACACCCACAGACATCACTATGTAGCACTCCTGCTTCTATTTGCTAGCACTCCAACACATTATACATGATGGGCTAAGGGGCGGGAGATCTCTAAACGCTTGACCAATCACAACAGAGCCGGCCAGCTAACCAATCAGAGCAGACTGGGCTCTGGTTTCAGACAGAGGGTGAAAAGAGGTGCTGCAGCACAGGCAGGATGAGAAAAATAAAGACCTTTTTCAACATTAAAGCTTGTAAACATTATACAGTAGAGGCAGAAAATACAAATATGATTTTTACCAAAATATATTCAGTGTGCATGATCCGGCTCAGACAAGCTGCAATGATAAAGTCAATTTATATTCTGTGACAAGACTTTGAGATATACTTAAAAGAACATCTCTTCAAAAAAGTATGACATGAAAAAGGATACTGACACAGAAACACTTCAGGCATTGCAGTATGTAAATGTTTACTGACTGTTTGGGTACGGAGAGATTGTAAACACTTGAGTTGTTGCAACAGGAGTGAGAGTTGTTACTAAGCCAAATGTGTGTGAAATTATCTTTGCACGGTTGGGGGTTGCACTGACACACATGTTCAATCTGGAGCAGGGGGAAATAAGGAGGGACAGCTGAAAGAAATGAAACACAATGGGATGAGACAGGAGACGAGATTGGCTGAGAAGACGGGGAGATAGCTGAGAGAATGAAGAGGTGCTGATTACAACAAGAGCAAAAACTAAACCCAAAACCGTTTCAGAAACAGAAAACGATCTCTTGATTGTAATTGTTCTTTATGCTCTTTAAACCTCATGCAGACTCTTATTGGGAAGCTTATTGTGGCAAATTGCAGTGTGAGGTGTTTTAAAATTGAGTGTCAAGAAACATTAAAAAAGTCAGGGAGAAACAAAATCAGTGTTCCATCAGATGACCAAATTGTAATCGCAATATTACTACATTATATAACCGTTACATCATTGTATATCAAATGAATGCCCATACTTCCAAAGCTAATAAACAGATCTTCAATTGGCATACGAAGAAACAACACCAGTTAACGAGACCCTATTATGTTTGGGTTTTATAAAGTGTGTGTAGGGTTGCAAAGGGGGGGAACATTTCCGTGTAAATTTCCATGGGAAGTTAAGCTGGGGAATTTTGGAAATATTCCATATTGTTTTTGTTTTGTTTTAATTATTTTATTGAACAATCATTTGTTTAATTGAAGAACAAAAACATGAATGTTGAGTTAAATATTACTTCTAGAAATGGCATGGATATTCAAGTGTACTTGAATGGCATCTGTTTGTTTTAGTCAAGATTATGCTAAAATGTACTTTCCCCAACTATATTTAAGTTCCCTATGAAGAGCCAACCTTCAATTTAGAAAATTCCCAGTTTATTCCCGTTAATTCCCTTTAATTAAAGTTTCCATCTTGGAAAATTCACGGAAATTTGCAACCCTAATTGTGTTATATAGGTTTTTGTGCATGTAAATGGTCTGCAAAGGCTAAAATAACCAATCAGAGCAGACTGGGCTCTGGTTTCAGACAGAGGGTGAAAAGAGGTGCTGCAGCACGAGAACAATAAAGAGCTTTTTGAACATTAAAGCATGCAGACATGTCACAGGAGAGACACTAAATAGTAATATGAACCTGAACATTTGTTTAATGTTTCCTCTGTCAAACATTCAACATCAGAACAGTAGTAAGCAGAGTGTTTGCAAATCCTAATTTGCTCAAAAACAATATATTTGAAAAGGTTACAGCGTCGAAAGATGAATCTCCTTCTTAGAACTAGAGAAAGTTATTTAAATCCTCCAAGTCTGTCTTTCTACACAATTCTTGTTCACTTGGTGTTTTGTCGTCTTCCAACAAATAGCCTTTTGAAGGCATTATAATGCAGTTCAACTACTGACTAATATCTTGGATAACAGGAATGTAAAATGAAAGCAGTAGCTATCCCTGCAGACGCAAAACACCCTGAAACCTGTGAAGATGAACGTGTCCACCTTCTGTCAGTCATTCAACGTTTTTGTTAATGTTTCAAAAGTTTTGTAAGTCATGGTAAAAATGGTGAAACACCAGGTGTCTCAGCTTGTCTTTACCTAATTCTCTCTGACATTTTTAGAGACTGTTTTCTTATCTCTGGTATTTGCTG